TTGGAGTATGTGGGAGAAGGTGAGGGTGGGACGATATGAGAGAATAGCACTGAAGCATGTATATTATCATATGTAAAACAGATGACCAGTGCAAGTTCAATGCATGAAGCAGGGCACTCAAAGCTGTGCTCTGGGACAACCCAATGCAATGGGGTGGGGAGGCAGGTGGGAGGGGGATTCAGGATGGGGGGACACCTGTACACCCATGGCTGATTCATGTCGATGTATGGCAAAACTATCACAATATTGTAAAGTAATTAGCCTCCCATTAAATAAACTTTAAAAATAATAAAATGAGGATGAGAGTCATACCTCCTCCTTTTGGGGTTGTTTATGAGGATTTCTTGAGTTCATACATATAGAACACCGAGAAGGTGCCAGCCCATGGCCAATGTCATTTGTGTGTGAGCCAACAACTTCACCCCACATCTGTGGCCACATGCACACCCCGAGTGTGGTGGTGTCAGGATCTTATTGGGACTGTCTGATGCTCTGACGACTTATTTCCCCAACACTCTTACTACCACAAGTGTCTGTCTTTCCCTCATAGAAACCATTAGTAATCTTCTCAAGTGAGTGTCTTCATCCCCAAATTATTCAAAGCCCTTCTTTTCCATTCATAGTGAGCATCCATCACTGTTTGTGAATCATGTATCTCCACTGGTGGGTGATGAGGACACCATGGAAAAGTGAAATAGGCATTGCTGGCGACTGTGGTGTCTCCTACCGCCATCACTGAAGCTCCTGACTGGTGGGAAATGTCATTGCTCTGTGTGTTCACTACTTTTGCATCAACTGCACTTCTGTTGGTAGTAATGCTCATGTTCAGTGAAACAGAAAGTAGCCAGGTGAGCAGAAAGAGCATGCAAAGAAAAAGACCAGAATCATCCATGAATTCTGATTGTTTTTTAAGCCATCCAGGTGAATTTTCACTGGTTCAAATCAACGTGTTGGTGTTCGGGTCGCTAAATCGCATCCGACTCTTTCAATGTGGGCACACACTTAAGAGAGAACTGCATGAACGTGAATGTGGCCTAAAGGTAACTGGTCCATCCCTGAGCTCAGCCCATCACCTCAGCAACACGCAGGCCCACTGCCAACAACACATCCCTCCTGGAAGTCATTCGGGCATCTCAAGCCAGCCTGGCCAAAGAAGAGCTCATCTTTCCCCACAAACCTCCCCACAGAAAAATGGCAGGTTTTTTCTATCACAGTTAAACATCTTTTTTCTATCTCAAGTTAAATATCAATATCAAACAAGTTACTTATGCCAGAAACATCAAGGTCAACTCCTCTCCTTTTCCTGCCCCCATCCCCAGGCCCTGGACTCCCTATGCTTCCTAAATAGCCTAAGACTATGCCTTTTCTGTACACCCACTGACTCTGCCTGCAGCTGTAAGTATCACTGTGTAACAACAATCCCCAAACAGTGGCTTGGGTCAGCTGATCCAGACCAAGCTCAGTTGGGTGGCTCTTTCCACATGTCTTTGGGTGTCTGGCCGATGGAGGCCAGGCTCAGGTAGGCTGGGTCTGCCCACATGGCTCTCAGCCTTCTTTCTGGCTCCAGTGGGCTGACCCAAGCGTGTTCTTCTTGTGGAAATGTCAGAAGCACAGGAAGGCAAGCCAAAACACATGCCACTGTTGTGTGTTTCTGTTGGCCAAAGCTAGCCATATAGTCTTGTTCAAAGTCAACGGGTAGAGAAATGCATTTTAACCATTTAGTGGAAGGAAGTACAAAGCCACATGGCAGAAAGAAAGGTGACGAGAGAATAAAGAACCAGGGTCAGTAATGTAATTCCCCACATCCTTGTTATCTCTTACTAGACTCATCACTCATTTTCTAACTTCTTACTTTGCCTGTAGCCAACCTCCCCTGACTTGATCCCAACATCCCTTTATTAAAACTTTCCACTGCCCCCTTATCACTCCCAAATTGAGCTGAAGCCCTGTACAACTTGGCTCCAATCCATTTTTCCATCTGCATCTGTTGCTGTGTTTCAGAGTTACTCACCACCCACTTCCAAATGCGCTTGTTTTTCATACTGATCTGTGCCTTCATAAACAGTCTTCCCTCTTCCTGCAGTGATCTCCCCTGCATTTGGGGTTATTGTGAGATGTCGTTGATCCATCAAAACCCAATTCACCTGGACCCTCTTCCAGAAAGCCTTCTCAGAGGCCCTGTGGAAAAAAAAGTTGCTCCTTCCTTTGTGATATGATAGTAAATTGAAATTACATCATGCTCATACTTGTATCAGTTTGGGAACACATGCTCAACCAGAGAGAGAGAGAACTTAAATAATTCCACCCACCATTCAACTCCATGATCATGGGAGTACCGAGACTTCACTTTGCAGTTACATTAGTCATCATTACATTAGTTCCAGAAGCCTCTTGTAGATGAAAGGCACAGCCTACTGAGAGGGGTCTAGTGTTTAAATGATACAAGACTCTTTTAACAACCATCCCACAAGCCTTTATTTCATTTACTGGTCAACCAAAGGAACATCTATCTGGGCTGTGTGGTCTTGTTTCAAGTCAGGACCTTCCAGTTCCATCTTGGAAATTCAAGGGACTTTCAGTGGTAGATCATCTATAGTAAATGTTTATGTCATTGTGACTTTAGACTCTTCCTGCGTCGAAGATGCTCCTGTACCGTATTTTCTATAGATTTATGTCAGATTGAATTTTAATCTTTTATGTTGGTGTTTCCCAGCTAAGTTATGAGAGTCTCGTTTGTGGCTCATGGTTCTTTACGGCTGCTGCCTGTGGCTGTGCAGGTCATATACTCTAAGGGGGCACTAGTCATGCCAGAGCCTGTATTAATGGACTGTGTAGTAGTCATGGTGCCAGCTTCCTTGTCCCCCAGTGCCTGGTACATATCAATCGCTCAAGAAACATGTGGATGAATGAGTGAAGGAGAAACAGACAACAACAAACTGAGCTAAATGTTCCCAAAATGGGCTTCCCAAGTGGTGCGGTGGTAAAGAATTCACCTGCCAATGCAGAAGAAGCAGGTTCAATCCCTGGGCTGGGAAGATCCCCTGAAGAAGGAAATGGCAACCCACTCCAGTATTCTTGCCTGGAAAATTCCATGGACAAGAGGAGCCTGGCAGGCTGCAGTCCATGGGGTTGCAAGAGTCCGACATGACTAAGTGAATAAATCACCACCACCACTTGGTGGCTCAGTGGTAAAGAATGCACCTGCCAATGCAGGAGATGCAGGTTTAATCCCTGGGTTGGCAAGATTCCCTGGAAAAGGAAATGGCAACCCACTCCAGTATTCTTGCCTGGAAAATTCCATGGACAGAGGGACCTGGCGGGCTATAGCCCATGGGGTCACAAAGAGTTGGACACAACTGAGCTCACACACACAAATGTTCCCAAGTGAGAGATTTAAGAGTCAGGGTTCCAATGAAAATTCGACAGGTTTTGCTCCAGCAAAATTAAGACCATGTTATTATAGGTGCCTGTGATGAAAAGTACCTGTCAACCCACTTGAAATGTCTTGTTTAACTCCCAAAAAATCACCTTTCATCATGTGAACCGATTGAAATGATGGTTCTTACAAGGACATCATTCTTCTCAAATGTTACCGACGGCATGATGGCCCTGTGCCTAACACCCCAGTGGACATTGCAAGGCATGTATATGGAGACAGGTCTAGATGCTAGATGAATCTTGCCCTCCAAGTCACAGTAGACTTAAATTTTCCTTGATTTCCCTTGGATGGTCATGCAATTTAAATAAAAAGAGAGCCATTATGAATAAGAACAAGGCTTTTATCAGGTTATCTGATAAAATATGCTGAACACTTCTTAAGTAGTGTAGCCGGCAAACTTTTCACCCAATGGGAGGAGGTAGCAAAGGTAAACAGTCAACTTCGCACTTGGAATCCGATGTTCTGCCAGAGAACATAGGGAGAGGAACTGACCCGCTTGGGATGTGTGGGCCTCTGGGTGGATGTGGCCCAAGTAGGAGTCCAAAAGGCAGCATGACACGGGCCGTGATGGTCCAACTGTGCCTCACCCCACCCCCAACCACAGGCCCAGGAAGCTCTGACAAAACATGGGGTTCATCCCCTCCGCCCGGATTGTTCTTCCCTCTGTCTCCAGCAGCAAGGGGATCACCACCTGACAACCCCACCAGCGCGACAGTTAGCAGGATGCCTCACCAGCCAGGGCTTGATTTGTCCATTAGAGGAAGTACCTGGGAAGAAAGGGTTCCATAAATGTTAAATGAATGAACAAAGTGATGAATAAGCTAACAAAATAAGCAAACCAAAGGAGCACAGCAGTGTAGGGAACATTTGTGGGGGAGGCACTACAGTTACTCTGGGGAGTTCTAAATGGTGTAAATGGATCTTTCCAGGCATCGAACCCATGTCTCTTATGTCTCCTGCATTGGCAGGCAGGTTCTTTACTGCTAGCACCACCTGGGAGGCAAATGTTGTACACCTGATGTTTAATGTACAGCCCTTCCCTAAGGGCCCTGGTAGCCTTTCCAAATCCATGGAGACTTGACTGTGTTGTTTAATGGAAGATATGCTCAATCTGCTGCGGTACCACACCAAGGTCACCCTAATGCCAGACGGCTAACTATTAGGGTAATAGTTCTTGAGTTTGGGGCTGCTGTTGTATATGCCGGGCTACATCCCTTCAGTCATTTGTCTGACTCTGCCATTATATGGACTGTAGCCCACCAGGCTCCTCTGTCCATGGGAGTCTCCAGGCAAGAATACTGGAGTGGGTTGCCATTCCCTCCTCCGGGGGTCTTCCCGACCCAGGGATGGAACCCGAGTGTCTTATGTCTCCTGCATTGGCAGGCGGCTGGGTGCTGCACCAGTCATATTTGCACGTGAACTTGGGACCAGAATTTCATAACATCAAGGAGTCGGTTCAAATGGAGCTTCTGTTTCTGCCAAGACCTTGCATGTCATCGCGGGCCGCCTTCATGAAGTAGTCACCGTGTGTTCTTCGGGGTTTCTTTTTGTGTGTCGCTAGGTGAGTACTCCACGGAGGAGGCGCAGGACCCTTTCCTGGTCAGCATCCACATCATCGCAGACCCAGGGGAATCCCGCCCCCTGCAGGAGGCCATCGACAAGGTCTTGGCATGGATCCACCCGGACCTCCCGCTGTTCAGGGTCTCGGAAAGGCGGGCGTGCCGCCGGCGGAGGAGGGCCCCCAAGGCGGCACAGCCGGCGCTGGCGGTGGTGCTCTTCCTGCAGGAGGAATACGGCGAGGAGCCGATCCTGCAGCTGCACCGCACGCTGCAGCGGCCGCCCTGGCGCCACCACCACACGGAGCGCGTGCCCAGCAGGTTCCTGCCCTACCTGCCCTGCAGCCAGGACTTCTTCACGCTGGCCCCGGGGACGCCTCTCTGGGCCATCCGGCCCGTGCACTACGGCAAGGAGATCGTGCGCTTCACCATCTACTGTCGCCATGACAACTACGCCGACATCCTCAAGTTCTACGAGCTGATCCTCAGGCGGAGCCCCAGTCAGAAGAAAGCGGACTTCTGCATCTTCCCCATTTTCTCCAATCTGGACGTGGACATCCAGTTCTCCCTCAAGAGACTGCCCTGTGACCAGACCCCGGTCCCCACCGACTCCTCCGTGCTGGAGTTCCGGGTCAGGGACATCGGCGAGCTGGTGCCACTCTTGCCCAACCCTTGCAGCCCCATCAGTGAGGGGCGCTGGCAGACCGAGGACCATGACGGCAACAAGATCCTTCTGCAGGTACCTGGGGAATGTCCGTCTGTCTGTCTGTGTCTGTCTCCCTTTGGCGATAACAGAGAAACAAGGGAAATGGCTTTTCCTGAAGCCCTAACCTGTTGCAAAACAAGGAGTTAAGAAAAAGGAGGGATCAGTGACCCTCCTTCTGGCTTGAAGACCAAGTCAAGGTGTCTATACTCTAATTACACGATTTTCACTTTGCTGCCAAGGTCATGTGCCCCAGGCCAACAATAGCTGATCCTCTGTTGTCACCTACCTGTGACAAGCATCCATCCACTAAATACTTGTGGTTCCAGGGGATCTTGAATGAGCTGATATCCCAGGCAATTTGCTATTAAAGATTGTTTAGTCTTCTCCCTCACAAGTAGGAGGTTTTTACCAATGAATTCTTCATTTCCACAAAGGAACTTCAGGAAAAGCCATCCGTGACAACTGTAAAATAGGTTGACATTGAATAGAGAAGGTATGTTTTCTTCTTTGCTCTGGTGCCTCCCCTACTTTCTACCCTTCACCCTTCTGCTACTGGGCATTACGTTGTTAAAACTCAGTGATTACTGGGAAATGACTTCTAGGCATTTTAAGGAGTACTGCGATGTCTTTGGGGCTTCTGTTTTCATTAAGCATGGGAAGAGGGGAGTAAATACATAGAAGGAAATGGATGCAGTGAGCTCTTCTGTTGCTTCTGTGGTTAATATCTTGGTTCAATTACTGGGCCTCTTCCTCCTCCCATCCTTCCAGCAATTATCCCAACTCTTTATAAGTCATTAAGTTACACTCTTGAATTCAAAAGTGAGCATATAGATTTAAGAATGTCCTGTATATGCCCTACCTGATACATGCTTTCAAGGCCCACGCTTTCTAGAATTACTAATAACAGGTAAATCAGTTGCAGGCATATACAATTTTGTCTTTCTGAAATGCCTCTGCCTTTGGCATCTCGGTTTTCATAAACAGCTACCTGAGAGGAGAAAGCTGATAGCAAGTTAGGCAACGTTGTCTTGAAAGGTTCTGGCTGATTGTATTTACTTGAATCGCAGGTAAAGTTGCGTAGTTTCTGTTGGTTTTAGCATTAAACATCAGAAGTATAATCCACATATTGCAAAATGAAGTGAGAATTTGGCACATGTCAGATACCTGGTTCAAACTATAGCTAGGCCACATTGCTCAAGTCAAAAAAGTCACCTTGAAATATTTACGATTTAAAAGAAATAGGTAATTTTCAGATTTCTCTTTGAATTATGCAAATAATATATAATATTGTTTTATTAGTCACTGAACTAAACGCTGTTTGTTTTAATTTTTATTTTGTATTGGAGTCTAGTTGATTTACAATGTTGTGTTCATTTCAGGTATACATTAAAGTGTTTCAGATATACATATATCTATTCTTTTTCACGTTCTTTTTTCATAAGGTTATTATGGAGTATTAAGTGGAGTTCCTTGTGCTATACAACAGGTCCTTGTTGATTGTCTATTTTATATATAGTTTATGTATATGTTAATCCCAACCTTCTAGTTTATCCTCTGCCCTTCACCTTTCCCCCTTTGATAACTATGTTTGTTTTTGAAGTCTGTACATCTGCTTCTGTTTTGTAAATAAGTTTATTTCTATAATTTTTTAGATTCCACATAGAAGTGATATTGTATTTGTCTTTGTCTGACTTACTTCACTTAGTATGTTAATCTCTAGGTCCATCCATGTTGCTGCAAGTGGCATTGTTTTAATCTTTTTTATGGCTGTGTGATATTCCATTGTATATATGTGCCATATCTTCTTTATCCATTTATTTGTCAGTGGACACTTAGGTTGCTTCCATGTCTTGGCTATTGTAAGTAGTGCTGCAATGAACCCTGGGGTATATGTATTCTTTTTGAATTATGGTTTTCTCCAGATATATGCTTAGGAATGGGATTGCTGGATCACATGGTATTTCTGTTTGTTTTTTAAGGAACCTCAATGCAGTTCTCCATAGTGGTTGTACCAATTTATATTCCTACCAAGAGTGTAGGAGAATTCCTTTTTCTCCACACCCTCTCCAGCATTTATTGTTTGTAGATTTTTTGATGCTGGCCATTATGACCAGTATGAAGTGATACTTCATTGTAGTTTTGATTTGCATTTCTCTAATAATTAGTGATGTTGAACATCTTTTCATGGGTTTTTGTTGTTGATTGTTTTTTTTCTTTTTTTAGGGGGGGCTATCTCTATGTCATCTTTGGAGAAATGTCTATTTAGATCTTGTGCCTGTTTTTTGATTGGGTTGTTTGTGTTTTTGATATTTAACTACATGACCTGTTTGTATATTTTAAAGATTAATCTTTTGTTGGTTTTGCAAATAGTTTCTCCCATTCTTTGGGTTGTCTTTTTTTGTTTTGTTTATGGTTTCCTTTGCTGTGCAAAAGCTTTTAAGTTTAATTAGGTCCCAATTGTTTATTTTTGTTTCTATTTTCATTTCTGTAGGCTATGGATAGAAGAAGATCTTGCTGGGATTTGTGTCAAAGGGTATTCTGCCTATGTTTTTCTCTAAAGGTTTTATAGAACCTGACCTTACATTTAGGTCTTTAATCCATTTTGAGGCTTTTTTTGTGATGGTGCTAGTGTTCTAATTTTATTCTTTTACACGTGGCTGTCTGTTCTCCCAGCACCACTTACTGAAGACTGTCTTTTCTCCATTGTACGTTCTTGACTTCTTTGTCAAGGATTAATTGACCAAAGGTGCAGGGATTTAGTTCCGGGCTTTTTATCCTGTTCTATTGATCTATAAGCCTGTCTTGCACTGTACCATACTGTCTGTAGCTTGGTAGTATAGTCTGAAGTCAGGGAGCCTGATTCTTCCAGCTCTGGTTTTCTTTCTCAAGATTGCTTTGGCTCCTCAGGGTCTTTTGTGTTTCCATGCAAATTTTAAGATTTTATTATTCCAGAGCTGTAAAAAACTGCCTTTGGTAATTTGATAGGGATTGCGTTGAATCTGTAGACTACCTTGGGCACTACAGTCATTTTGACAATATTGACTCTTCCAATGTAAGAACATGGTATAGCTTTCTGTCTGTCTGTGTCATCTTCCATTTCTTTCATCAGCATCTTATAGTTTCTGGAGTACAGGTCTTTTGCCTCTGTAGGTAGGTTTATTCCTGGGTGTTTTATTCTTTTTGATGCAATGGTAAATCGGGATTGTTTTCTTAATTTCTCTTCCTGATCTTTTGTTGTTGGGGTATAGGAATGCAAGAGATTTCTGTGTATTAATTTTGTATCCTACAACTCTACGAGATTCATGTATGAGCTCCAGTAGTTTTCTAGTAGCATTTTTAGGATTTTCTTTGTGTATTATCATGTCATCTGCAAACAGTGACAGTTTTACTTCTTTTTTCCAATTTGGATTCCTTTTATTTCTTTTTCTTCTCTGACTGCCAACTATGTTTAAAAAAAGTGGTAAGAGTGGACATCTTTTCTTGTTCCTGAACTTAGTGGAAATGCTTTCAGTTTTTCATGTTTGAGTATGACGTTAGCTATGGGTTTGTCATATTTTGTCTTTATTATGTTGAGATAGTTTTCCTCCATGCCCACTTTCTGGAGAGGTTTTAACATAAATGGGTGTTGAATTTTGTCAGGAGCTTTTTCTGCATCTGTTGAGATGATCATATGTTTTTATTCTTCAGTCTGTTAATGTGGTGTATCATACTGATTTGTAAATATTGAAAACTCCTTGCATCCCTGGGATAAATCCCAGTTTTTCATGGTGTGTTACCCTTTTAATATATTGTTGGATTCATTTTGCTAGTTATCTTATTGAGGATTTTTGTGTCCATGTTCATCAGTAATATTGGCCTATAATTTTCTTTTTTGTGGTATCTGTGTTTGGTTTTGGTATCCGGGTGATGGTGGCCTCACAGAATAAGTCTGGGAGTGTTCCTTCCTCTGCAATTTTTCAGAATAGGATGGGTGTTAACTCTTCTCTAAATGTTTGATAGAATCTGCCTGTGAAGCCATCTGGTCCTGGACTTTTATTCGCTGTGAGTTTTTTTCATCACAGTTTCAATTTCAGTACTTGTGGTTGATTTGTTCATATTTTTTATTTTTTCCTGTTCAGTTTCAGGAAATTTGGTAAGAATTTGTCCACTTACTCTAGGTTGTCCATTTTATTGGCATATAGTGGCTTATACTAGTCTTTTATGATCCTTTGTATTTCTGTATCAGTTTTATAATCTCTTGAAATGTGAGAAAAGTTTTCTTCTGTATTTGAAGACTGCCAATTCTTTATGCAAAACAATGCATTTGCATAAGTAAAAATTAATGAAAGGACTTTGTTTATACTAAAAGTCCAAAATGAATGTGATTGGTTCTGAGGGAAATTTTCTTTTTTGCGTTATTTAGAATACTTCCCCCTCCTCAATCCCTGTAATAATATAAATGAAAGAATAAAGTAAGAAAGCTTGGCCTGAAACCCACTCGAAGGAACCATTGAAAGAATATTTCAAAGAAAAGTCACAGATTTAAATAGCTATACAATCTGTATGGGTACAGGCTTTTGAATTTAGAGCATCCAAGTATGAAAAGATTTGTATCTTGGGGGTTTCAGGAATTTGGGCTTTTGTCCAAAGTGGCAATATGTCAAAGAGTTAAATTAATGTGGGCAGAAATGAATAATGGTCCCCTCTCACAGTTCTTGATTATGGCCGTTTGAATAGGTTACTGTTCCTGCATCACTGGAGAAAGCAGCTCTCTGCTCTAGCTTGACACACCTGCCCACCCCTTTGTGAGTGTGTGTGTGTGGCTCCATTGTGTCCAACTCTTTGTGACTTCAGTGGACTATAGCCCATCAGGCTCCTCTGTACATGGAATTCTCCAGACAAGAATAATGAAGTGGATGCCATTCCCTTCTCCAGGGGGGTCTTCCCAACCCAGGGATCGAACCCAGGTCGCCCACATTGCAGGCAGATTCTTTACTGTCTGAGCCACCAGAGAAGTCGGTCCAACTCTTTAAGTTCCTTTTAAAAGTAAAAAT